CTCAAACTGAAAAAGAACACCCTCCCAAAGCCCCAGAGACCCATAAGATGTGAACTTGAGGAAGATCAAAGGCTTCCTTCTGACCATTTAGCAATAAGAGGGATCCTTTCACACCCACCCCCACGCCCCCGACAATGTGAGCAATGAAATAGCCTCGCCACAGGTGGTTGCTGTAGGCTAATGGAAAATGCCCGACGGAGGGCAAAGCCCCCATTAGATGCATGAATGTTTGCGAATGTCGGCTGCCACTGCCCCCCTCCCCCCACACTGTCTTTATGGACCGCCCCCCACTCCCCACCCCTCCCACCGCCTCCACCTGGACACAACCTGCTCAAAGGCTGGTGACTGTGGGTCATTCATCTACAACCAAGCCGGGCTGGAGTGCAAGAGGCCGGAGCCTAGGGGATGCACGAAGGACCCGTTCTTCAATGTGACCAGCCCCAGCCAGTGTTTCGGTGACAGGAGGGCTAACCGTCCCCATCGAAAACAAGCCAACAGACACACAAACTGGTCGTGTAAAGGTTGCTAGACTTTGTGTTGTACAACTAAACATTGCTGTTTGAACAATAGCTGCCTGGCCTGTGTCTTCTTTGAGCTCCGCAGTCTTGACCGAATGAGCCACCCCGTGGTCTCACCCATCTGTGGAGGTGAGACAGGTCCGGTCTCAGTGAGAAGTGGCCACAGACATGTCATGTGGGACCTGTTTAGTGAGGTCAACTCATCTGAGTGTGGCCACCCCCAGTCCCTATTTCATGAGGTTTCCTATCCAAATGATGAACGTGACCTTGAGGAAGGCTGTCTCCCTCAATGGAAACAATTTCCATTCAGCTCCTTTCCCAGCTGTTTCCTGACAGCAGAAGCACTACTCCAAGTAGGATGCAAAATGGTACAGGAGCTGTGGAAAACAGTTCCTCCGAGCGTTACATAGAGCATCACCATGCTGCCCTCCTCAGACGCCCCTGCTTCGCTCTCTCTGAAGAACCGGAAGGTCAGAGGCTCGAACGTGACAATGAAGTATCTCACAAAGGCAGAATGCCTTTTCAGCCAAGCATTCAAAGCAAACGTCCATTCCCAGGGGAATGAGTCATTCTCAGCAGAATGGAGAAGACCCAGGGTTGTTGCAAAACAAGGGTCTTGATTTCATTCTAACATATATATTAACTAAGGGGAGGAGTAGTCAATATTGGGGAGGGATAGAAAGGGATTTCTAGGAATTAGGGTGCCTCCCCTTTTCGGCCCTTACTTAGTCTTAACTCTCATCTGTCATAGCTCTAGGGGGTGTGTGATTTAATATGTTAATAAAGCACGTAGTCTCTCTCGGCCACCTAGGTGACTCCTATTATGCGTGCCCTCCCTAATTTGGGAGAGTCTTTTACCTGTGGGTTTAGCTTGCTTTGTGGGTTTAGCGCCTTTTCCTCATTGGTTCGACCCCACGGATGGTTATTTCTGGATCGAACATCAGGCTTGGAATGATCTCTGCTCTGTCCCTAACAACCCTAGGACCAGCAATTCCACTCCTAGGTTTGTACTCAAGAGGCCTGAAAGGGTGAACAGATAGATGCTTGCGCGCCAATGCTCATTATAGCACTATTCACAATAGAAAGAAGGCTGTCCATAAATGGATAAACAAAATGGAATACTGAGCCTGGCCACACCACATCGATGAAGCTTAAAAACGTTATGCGTAAAAACAAACAAAAAACGGTATGCTTAGTGGAACCAATACACCACAGAAGATTAAGTATTGTATGAGCTCACTTATTTGAAGTACTGCCACTGACCCGGGGGTAGAATTGCCCCTGTGTCTCCCAGTCTTTGGAGCAGCTGGTGGTTTCAAACTGCCAACCTCACAGTTAGCAGCTCAACGCATAATCACTATGCCACCAGGGTTCCTTATGCTCCATAGCCCTGACAATAATCCAGCCTCCCACATCTGATTCCTCACAGGGCTCCTTAGGCCTCTCCTGAGTCTTCCATTCCAGGGTTTCTGCTCCTGTAAAGATTGTCTTGGAAATCCTAAGGAGTACTTCTGCTTCATCTTACAGGAACACGACGAATCAAAGTCTACTCAGTCGTCGTGGATGAGCGTGTTGCATCAGGGCCTGTCTATACTCAGGAAGAATAAGAATCAGGATCAGCACAAAGCTGATTTCCAGGAGGTGGAGGTCAGTCGTATCTCCTCTCTGAATTCTTCACCATCCTGGCCCCCTTCCCCTGCCCTCATGGTACCCTACTTCTGTGCTGAGATGGCTAATTCACTGCCGTGCCCCACAGAACTCACAGACCATGCTCACAGCTAATATGGTTTATGATTATTATTCATAATAATTGTGGAGAATACACAGAACATACACAAATCCAATCACTTCGACTTTCCCAGTTCAATGTAATTGAGGACATTCTTTGAGTTATGCACCCATTCTCACCCTCCTTTTCTGAGTTGCTGCTTCTCCATTAACATAAACTTATGGCGCCTGTCAGAATTTGAAATGATGTTCTGCATTTCCCCCCTTTTGGTCAGGACTCACATAGATGTTCAACAATGGTGGCCAGGCATCATGAAGTTCTTCTGATCTCATGGCAAAGGAGACAGGTTGTTAATGGAGGCAATTAACCACACACTCCATAGCCTCCTCTTCCTGACTCTTTTGCTCCAGCTACTTAAATAGAGACCAGTTGTTGGGCCTTGGATGGTTGCTTGGTAGCTTTTAAGATCCTGGGTACTACCCAATGAGCCAGGAGGTAGGATAGAAGCACTAAACACATTATTAGGCCAATTAACTGGAATGTCCCATGAATCTATGACCCTAAACCTTGTTCAAACCAAGGAGCCAAATCTTATGGGGGGTTTGGTTGTACATAAACAGCCTCAGTTGATACTTTGTGTGTGTGTTGTTGTAAATACATGCATCATAAAACTTTTGGCAATTCAACTTTTTACAACTTGTTAGTAAATACGTTAATTTACTGTGCAATCCTATCCTTAATCAATATGACTTTTTCCACTACTGTAATTGAATACAGTACTTCCTAAGTAATAATCCTCTTTCACCTTTCCTCCACTCCAGGTAACCACTAATAAACTTTGGTCTCTAGACATTTACCCATTCTTGTCTTTTTATATAACTGAAGTCATACAATAGTTGTTATTTTTTTAAAGCATTTTATTAGGGGCTCCATACAACTCTTATCACAATCCATACATACATCAATTGTGTAAAGCATATTTGTACATTCATTGCCCTCATCATTCTCAAAACATTTGCTCTCCACCTAAGCCCCTGGCATCAGGTCCTCTTTTTTCCCCCTCCCTCCCTGCTCCCCCCTTCCTCATGAGCCCTTGATAATTTATAAATTATTACTTTATCATATCTTGCCCTGTCCGACGTCTCCCTTCACACACTTCTCTGTTGTCCGTCCCCCAGGGAGGAGGTCACATGTAGATCCTTGTAATCGGTTCCCCCCTTCCAACCCACTCTCCCTCTACGCTCCCAGTACCACCACTCACACCACTGGTCCTGAAGGGATCATCTGCCCTGGATTCCCTGTTTCCAGTTCCTATCTGTACCAGTGTACATCCTCTGGTCTAGCCAGACTTGCAAGGTAGAATTCGGATCATACTAGTGGGGGGACGGAGGAAGCATTTAGAAACTGGAGGAAAGTTGTATTTTTCATCGTTGCTACATCGCACCCTGTCTGGCTCGTCTCCTCCCCGAGACCCTTCTGCAAAGGGATCTCCAGTGGCCTACTAATGGGCTTTGGGTCTCCACTCCGCACTCCCCTCCTCATTCGCTATGGTAAGATTTTTTGTTCTGATGCTGCCCGATACCTGATCCCTTCGACACAGTTGTCATTTTTTGGATTGATTCTATTTCACTCAGCATAATGTCTTCAAGCTCCATTCCTACTATAGTATGTATCAAGACTTCATTGCTTAAGAGTATTCCATTGTATGCATGTACCACCTTTTGATGCCGTTCATCTGTTGATGGACTTTTGGGTTTTTTCACCACTTGGCTACTATGAGTAAGCCTGCCATGGACATTGGTATACAAGTGTTTGGTCTCTTCTTTCAAGTCTTTGGGGTATATATCTAGGAGTAGGTCATATAGTATTTTTAGTTGTTTTTGAGGAAGTCCCATGGTTTCCCCGCAACAATTGTATCATTTTGCATTCCTACCAGTAATGTATGCAGGTTTCAGTTTCCCCGGTTCTCATCAACACGTGCTATTTTCTCTGTGTGTATGCTTACATTTTTTTGCTATGTTATTCTAATGGAAGTGAGATGTTAGTGTGGTTTAGCATTACAGCTCTCTGATGGCTAATGATGTTGAGTATTTTTTTTCATATGTTTGGTAGCTGTTAGAACTTTCTCTGGTGAAATATCTATTGAAGTAATTTGCCCATTTTATGATGGGGTTATTTGTGTTTTGGTTGTTATGCTGTCGAAGTTTTAACTAGTAAAACCTATAATCCAGAATCTATGTAAGGTAGATAGTTAACAGAGAAGGAAAACTCAACCATCCCCCACTAATAGAGAGGGATAGGCAAGTGTTAAGAACTGCACTCAGCAAAGGTGGAACATTTGTGAGACTTGGAAAAAAACAAAGCAGTTTTGTTGAGCTCCGGCTCCCACCGGTTTTTGCCGCATATATTTGGTTGTTAGCTTCTTGCTGGGTATGTGGTTTTTGAAGATATCCTCCCAGTCCGTTATTTGTCTTTCCACCTGTTTGGCAGTCTTTCAATGAACAAAAGTTTTAAATTTTTATGAGGTCGCATGCATTTATTTTTTCTTTGCGCTTTTGTTTTTACATTAGATAATCCATTGTTGAACACGAGGTCTGACAGCCTTGTCCTTTCATTTTCTTCTAAGAATTTTCTGGTTTAATGTTAATACTTAGTCCATTATGAATTTATTTTTGTGTATGGTGTGAGGCATCAGTCCTGTTTCCTTTTTCTAAATGTAGAAATCCAATTTTCCCAATACCATTTATCAAAGAGATTCTTATTTCTTCATAGAATGGACTTAGCACCCATGTTAAAAATCACTTGATCAGAGATGTGTGGGCTTATTTCTGAACTGTTAATTCTATTCCACTGGTCTATATGTCTATTTGTTACACTAGTACAAGGCTGTTTTGATTACTATAGCTCTATGTGTTTAAAAATCAGAAAGTGTGAGTCCCCTACTTTTTTAAACCTGTAAGCACAGATTTAGTAATTTGAGGCCTCTTGCCATTCCATATAAAGTTAAGGGTTGGTTTTTCTATTTCTGTAAATAGGCTGTTGAAATTGTGATTGAGATTGTGTTGAATCTACAGGTAACTGGGTAGTAGTGACATCTTAACCATATTGTCTTCTAACCCATTATTTTTCTATTATTTATTAAACCTTCAATATCTTTAGCGGTGTTTTATAACTTAGTTATAAAACCTTTACGTACTCGGTTAGAATTCTCTAAGTATTTTATCCTCTTAGATGCTATTGTAAATGGAAAGAACTATTTCCCTAAGTTGTCTTTCAGATTTCTAATTGCTGGTATCAGTTATGTGACGTATGAGGGAAGTAACATGTTGGGATCAGGATCAACTTGAAAGTTGCAGGATCCAACTCAGGAGGCAGGATCAACTTGATCAATATGGGCAGTTCCCAAACAGGGCAGCACTTGTCCCTTCTTGGTACAAGGCCCATCTCTTGACCATGTCAATGAGAGGCTGTTTTTTTATAACTGTGCCAGGCGGCAACCCTTCTCTCAGTTCCTGGGTCTCACTTCTGCTACTAGTACTTCCTGGGCCTCTACCCTGCTCAGGCAGTGTTACTGCTCTTTAGGTTCCACCAAGAAGTAATTGGAGGCACTCCACCGACAGCAAGCCTGAAGGCCCTCCGCGCTCTCTCTCCATGAGCCAACAAGCACCACCACAGTTGTCTATTTGCCCTGTGGTTCCGCCACTCACACTATTGCCACCATCTTGTCTCCACTCATGCCAACTTTAGTGTTAGAGCTCTCGGTCCATTTCACAGCTCTTTTAGGAGTCTCTCTCCTTCCCTCATTGCCTCTCTCAAAACCTCTGGTTGGTTGGTTGTGTATGTACGCAAGCTCCTGATCCATTTCAAGGCCTGCC